TATTCCAAAAGAATATTTCATATATTCAACATAGGAAAATTATGTAGGTCATTCACTTGCTTTTTTATTTGTATATCATTTTTAGTTATTAAGACATTAGCTGGAGGGTTTGTTCATTTGTTTTTGATATGGACAACGTAGTATCTTTTTCCATATCATTCTTATAGCCTGCCATTTTTAATTCCATTTTCAAATCAGTGTGAGTCTTGTCCAGTAAAACTTGTTCCTCTTTCATAACCTCTGTAAAATTCAATCTATCTTTAGAGGCAGACAATCTTAAAATTAACATTCTGAGTGCATTGTTTAAAAATATTCTTTAATATGTCCAATGTTAAAATATTTTGCTTCATTCTTATTAGTGAAGTTAGATGTAAATGTTTTTCTCCTTTAATTGTAATCTTTAGTTGCTCTAGTTTCCTCTAGTATCCATCTTTCAAAGTCTGATTCCCCCCCTTTTTTAAACATAATTCAAAACAAAAGCATTTTACTCTGGGGAAGGATTCTTATAATTAACTTCAAAATCTTATTTCAAATCCATCTGCATCTTTAATCCATTTGTAATTTCCCAAAATCAAACTTCTAATCACTTTTTACTGTTCATTCCAAAATATTTTTGGAATATTTAAAGTTCCTCAAACTTGTATTTACATCTTCTTTTGCTAAGGATTGAAAGAAACTCGCCTAATGTTATAAAACCTATGATTATGATCCAAAGGTTTCTAATCTGAAAAGCTGTTAACAAGTAATTTCTTTAAGTGATTAGAAAAGGAAGCATGCAAACCTAAGTATCCTTTTGAAGGACTGTCATTTGAGCAAAAGGATGATTATTCCTTCTAGTCTCCCAGAAGTCTAAATCTATAGCTACCTTGCATTCTCCTCACAAGAAACAACTGTCTAGAGCATTTCTCATCTGGAAAGGAATTACAGAGAGCTGGTCCACTTGCCAGTTCTTCATTCTGCTGCAATTGTTGGATCTGCTTTTAATGGAGTTTGCCATTTCTTCTCCGGAAATCTGTTGTGGGTTAGGTTTTCTATTCTATTTCTATCTATTCATCTGGTTTGTGGAAATGACAGGTAATTTTGTTACTTGTGGGTTTGAGGGCAACAACGAATGCTAGGAACTTGATTTCTTAAAGCAGCAAAGGAACTGTAAAATTATTCAGGGAAATATGCTAACCGCATTTGCTTTGATGCAGAAATATGTAAAGCCTGTGCTACAAACATTTGCAGGTGAGGCCCATTTTAGCTAAGGCACTGGATGCTCCATTAGATGAAGTTTTACAATGTATCAACTTGTATCAGGCATAGCTAAATGAATCTGGTTGGCTACAAATAAATTCATTTGACTGAAAAATATCAAATGCCTCTAACTGTATGAAGTTGGTTATTACTCAGTATTTGTTTGCTGAAGTCCTGAATGGGGGACCAGAAGCTGCCAGACCAAATGCAGTCAATGGGGACATCTTCTTTGACTGCTTAGTAATCCCATCCTTCTCTTTATTTTAGCCTTTTTTTTCTGGGCAGCAGAGAGGTGGATTTCAATTTTATCGTTGGACAGCACAAAATAAATAGTTGGGGGAGGGGGTATAGTTGTACAAATCAGCTGTAGAGATGCCCATAAAGGAAAATAATGCCTTCATATTGAGGAAGATGTTTGTGGCTTGCGAATGACAACTATTTTGGGGGAAAGAAATCTAGTTCTCTCCCTTTGTCCCACATTATAACCTTAATGATTTCCTACCCACCCTACTTTCTGATAATTATATTTTAGGCCTGGCCATTACGATGGGCCAGTCTTTGTGTGGATCAAATAGCATATTTTAAAATTTCAAAAAAATATGTGGACATTTGGGTAGAGGTAATCCAGGATGGAGGCTCACATATAAATAAAAGGTGTGAGTTATGCTTTAGCTCCGTTTAACAGAACATGAAACTTTATGCTGAAAAAGGTCTCTAGCCAATTCTGAAAAGGAGAAACATTCTCCCTATTCAAAGAGTACCAAGCATTTCATTTTTCCTTTCTTTCAAGTTCATGCATCTGCATCTGTACTCAACAGTGCCTTATAATAAATATTATATAACATACATTATATAATAGCAATCTGCTAATATTTAAGAGGCTGCCACAAAGAAGAGGGGGTCAACCTATCTCCAAAGCACCTGAAGGCAGGACAAGAAGTAATGGATGGAAACTTATCAAAGAGAGATCCAACCTAGAACTAAGGAGAAATTTCCTGACAGTGAGATTAGTCAATGGAATGAACTTTCAGAAGTTGTGGGTACACCATCACTGAAGGTTTTTAAGAAGAGACTGGACAGCCATTTGTCTGGAATGGTATAGGCTGGTGTCTCCTGCTTGAACGGGGTGGTGGTGGTGGTAGTTGGACTAGAAGACCTCCAAAGTCCCTTATAACCAGGGGTGAGATTCTACCAGTTCACACCTATTCGCTAGAACAGATTGTCAACATTCTAAGCAGCTCAGAGAACTAGTTGTTAGAAGAAATTACTGGCCTAATCCTGTAAGGAAGGCAGGAAGGAAACATTCTGATGTTGCTTACAGAAACTGCCTCTCCGTTAACCCTTATTACATTCTTGGCAGGACTAGACTTCCTGTCTCTGGAGTTTTCTTTCCCCTCCTTTGCTGGTACTTTGCTTGTGTGGAGTGACCAAAGTTACAATGGCACTGAAAAAAGTGACTTATGACCATTTTTCACACTTAACGACTGTTGTAGTATCTCCACAGTCATGAGAGGCCAGGCGAGGAGATGCGTGCCTCGATATGAGTGATATTGAGTTGGCCACACCCAGCCACATGATTACCAAACCACACCCACCAAGCCACACCCACAGAAACAGTTGTTAAAAAAATTGAATCCCACCCCTGCTTATAACTCTTATTTTGTCTACTACTTTTAGAAGAATTCTCAGGCAGATTCTATCCCATGGTTGTGTAATAAAGCATTAATGATAGCTTGACCCAATGTTCTCTTCTGACCATGATTTTCCACTGTCTAGGTTGCAATATCTAAAGCAAGAAATATATGTTATCTGCTTTGAGAGCAGTAGCTTTGCTTCCAAAAATTTCTAATTGCATGAAAAATGCAGCCGTTGTTTGTTCTGTGAAAATGGAATCAGGTTATCCAACACAGAATCTGTCCCACTTCTTATAGTTTTAAATAGGTTTCCTCAGTTATAATGATTATGTCCATTGATGCTGAATGCAACTTATATTATTTGAAATCAATCTCAGGCCCTTTTAAAATTATTTCTTTCACCCCGGATTCCGCACTGCAAGACTTCTTACAGCAGAACATATGAATTCCAACAAATTCTTACTATCCTTACTTAATATACCTTAGGCCTCTTGTCTTTCTCAAAGGGAGGAGAAAAGTTCATTTATTATTTATTTATAACCCGCCTTTTGTGCAACACACATAGCACTCCTTTCTCCCATTTCCCTATTACCACCAGTGAGGTAGGTTGCATTGCAAGAGACTGAATTGTTCCCATTATCCAATGAATTTCTGTGGCCAAGGATGGATTTGAACCTCCAGCTCCCTAATGCCAGTCTTGCATTTATATATAGTTATAAAAACCACACATTTTCTGTCATTGTACAAGGAAAATTATTAAAGTGCTATTAAACCAGTCATTTTCTGTTCTGCTCTTGTTTGAGCTAGCTAGTGGTAATTCTTATTTCTTCAAAGTTTCCCAGATGTTTCTGCAGTGTAGCCAGGGTCCCAATCAAATGACACATAATCTTTGTAACTTATTTACCAGATCTGATAAAACATAGCTCAGCAAACAAGAAGAGAAGGTTCAGTCTGTTGCTAGCAGTCAAGGGAACATTTGAGGCAAGATTTCAAATGTTCTTGGGTAAATATCACAAGCTTCCCATTCTATGCAACCCTGACAAGACATATGTTTAGTCCAACTCTTCTGGGGCCAATCCATTACCCACTCATCACCTTCCCCCAAAATGCTTGCAAACAAAGTATGCAGGATTTATAGCTTCTTTTCTTACATTATAATTTCCTGGCCCCTAAAAACAGTCAGACAAACCCACCGTTTTCCTATCATGCATTCCCTCACAAATTAATCTTAGGCTTCCTCCATCTGCTCTGCTCTAAGGAACCACAACCACCCTCAACATTTCCAGCCACGTTAATTAGAAATTCTGGAGACTATATAGGCAGTCCTCGACTTACAACAGCTCATTTAGTGACCTTTCGAAGTTGCAACAGCAGTGAAAGGGCCTTATGACCATATCTCACACTTACGACTGTTGCAGCATCCCCATATGACAACGGGTTCATATTTATGACGGTCGCAGTGTCTCCGGGTTAGGTGATCATCTTTTGAGACCTTCTGACAAAGCAACGTTCATGGGGAAGCCAGATTCACTCAACCACCGTGTGACTAATTTAACCACTGCAGTGATTCCCTTAACAAACGTGGTGAGAAAAGTCATTGAACGGGGCAAAAAAGCTCGCTGAACACAATTACTCGCTTAGTAACATAAACTCTGGGCTCCGTTGTGGTCGTAAGTCGAGGACTACCTGCATTCCAACACAACCGAAGGTCACCAGATAGGGGCAAGTGTTCTAGGCAGAAGCGGTGAGGTCATCCCTTCACCCAGCTCTTATTTTCCTCTAAAAATTACCGCCAGCTCCCTTCCTACACACACAAACACACATACACACACACACAATCCTCAAGAATACAATCAGAAAAAGACCTGGCCAGATCTTCTTCCCCCCCCGCCCCCCAAATCCAAGCTCTTCCTGGGGTACCCAGCAATCCTATTATGGGTGGGGTTCTCCCACCCACCCCCCATCATCATGCCCACGCACACGCACACACACACCACCCCCCCCCCCCTGGATCTCCCCCCCCCCCCCGTCCCTTTCCCTCCATAGGAACTCCACGCTTCTCTTCTCCTTTCCAAGCTACGTCCGGGAAAGAAGCAAAGCAGCCATCCGTCCGGTTATCATACTCACCACGTAAACGACGTTGAGGGCGCACAGAGCATTGCGTGAGCAGGCGAAGCCCCCGCAAACCATGTTTCCCAAACAGGAGGAACAAAGCCCACTCGCCTCTAAAAAAAGCCGAACTGAGACTTCCCTCCCGCCGCCGCCGCCCGCCCCCCCCCCAAAGGGGCAGCACCCGCGGACACTACCCCTTTAAATCCCGGCCTGCCTCCACCGCGCTTGCGCACCGATACTCAGTGCTGCCTGCCGGCTCGGCGCATTCTCTCGCTAGAAAGCCCACACTCAGACGTCGCAGGCGCAGGCGCCCTTGGTGTGAGACTCGCTGCCCCTGGGGGAGTTGGTCGTCTCCATCCGGGTTCTGAAGTGGAAAAAAACGGAAGATGCGTAACTCAACTTTAACCACAGAGACGAGCTTTTGAAAAACAATGGCGTGACGTCGTTGTTACTTCCGGTTGTAGGCTGCCATTTTCGGGGGGGCGGGGTTGTTGAGTAGGCTGGGCTTAATGGGGGAAGGCGCAACTTGTTTTATAGTTCATTGAAAGAGTTTATATTACTTTCTTAGATAATATTCCACACATTCAAATGGGAAAGTAGCATCTTTCTGCATTCTGCTGTGTAATGTTGAAATATTTTATACAGTGATGTAACCGTTTCCCCGAAATGCTCCATGGGGTCTTTTGCAGCCGAATCGAAGATGCTTGTGATGCCTTAAAACCCGAAGACATTTATTGTCCCTTGAGTTTTTCTAGGTCATCAGCTCAGTAAACCCTATTTTAAGTCAGTTGATCGTACAATCTGTGCTAAAAGTTTTGGCAATACATGTTTGAGCTAATATTTTTAATACAAACTGTATAAACATTAAAAATATATTGAGCTCCAAATGTTCTTATACAAAAGAAGAGGTGGAGTTGTGTAAGTTTATTCCTGGAATAAATTCAATGCTGAGGGAAATGAAAGGGGTATACAGATGTTTAAAAGAAAATCCATTGCACGTGGTTTGGGAGTAAGCCAATTAAATGGGCTAACTTCTAAGTAGAAAATAATAAATAACAACAATAATAATAATTCTACAAAAAACGAATTGGAACAGCTTATAACCTTCAGTGCTATCTTAACAGTTCCTTGGTCCTTGGTGAGGACTCGAGTTGAGCTATCAACGAGCCCCAAAGGCTGTGAGTCTCACTAAAGATTTATTATTGTTGTTGTTGTTAAGTGTTTTGACTAGTGATTTGTGATACGAAATCCAGCATAGTTATCTCATTTGCTGTGTATACTGTCATTTTTGTGTATAATAATAATAGAAAATCCCAATAATAATGGGGTTGCTTTTGACTGCAATTCTAAATCGGTCATAAACGTGCTTGTGCTTATTTCAAATGAAGCAACTATATGTGGATGTAGTGAATAGGCAGTTCTATATGTTTACCTTTGGGAAAAAAATCATTAATACTAATATATATAACTTGGGCTTCTTCAACATATTTGTTTTTTTTTTCCAAATCAATAAACTCTACATAATTGGCAGAATATTTACAGTAAGTGGTCAGCATGAAGACCCCAAGTCCCTTTTTCTGGTCCTCATTCTCATTTTCTCTAATAAAAATTGCTAAAAATGACAACAGTTTCCACAGTTTTGAATGGGGAACAAAAGCTGTTACGTATGCCATAGGCATATCATAAGGTAGTTAAAAACACCTTCCTAAATTCTTTTCCCCCAAAGAGTCTTAACCATAAGTGTGATACAATTTTATACGGTTTGCAACCCTAAGGGTCCATTCCCCAAACTTTAGCATGGATTTTCCCATGACAATTGTTCACTTTTCCCAGAGAGAAATAAAAGTTTAGTCCAATTGTATCATAAACTATTTTCTTTCTATCCCCCCTAGTATGTCCAGAATGAAAGCTATGGGTTATTACACAACTATTAGTGTTCTGCAGTATTGGGATAATGCTACTGCAGAACGCTACTATGTACTACTACATTCTACATTAAGAATGGGCGGGGGGGGGGAGAAAGAGAATATGAATATATTTCTTTCTACCCAGTGGTAGTAGAATAGCTAGTAGGCAGAATAGCTAGTTATTTATTGTGTCTTCACTAAAATGACTTTTCAGTGCCTGATTTCAATATCAGTCCTTGAATTCACTGCAGCAGAGTGACTCTTTAGGGAAGAAACTGGCCTCCCACTCAGATGTATCTCATTTTTCATTTGAACAGGTTTTTTTAAAATAGCAATAGGTTTTCTAATACTGTATTAGACTAAAAAACATTGTTGCAATAATATTCTTAAAGGATGAGGAATCATTCTTTTGAGTTTCATGAGTTCAAAGCAGCACCTATGTGCTCTCTCCTTCTTTCCCCCTCATACCAATTCCGTGAGATGGATTGAGCTGAGAGACAGCTATAGGCCCAGAGTCATCCAGAAGTTTTGGACCCGAGTCTCCCAACTTTTAGTCCCTTCACCTTAACTACTACATCCCACATGATTACTCTCAACAATTAAACAACTACACCTATTTGAATAGTATTGTTTCTTACCTCAGCCTTTTATTTTGCTTTCTTAGCTTCCTCAAATGGAAAAGGGAATTGTGAATTTTGAAAATGCTCCAGATGTGTTACTTTTAATTCATATAATCCTTAAAGCTTAATATAATACTGCTTAAACATTGTCTATCCCCAGTTTATATCCTTCTTTTCTACTTTTGGTCTCAGCAATCTCTTGGGAGCTACTGTGTATAGTGGATATGGTCAATATAATAGATGGTGGCAAAACTCAAAGGTTTAGATTAGAAGAACTTTATTGTCATTGTACAAGTACAACAGAACTGTGGATGCACCCCAGCAACTCTTCGCAATACAATAAAACCAAAGCACTTAAAAATGAAGATAAGAAAAATAGAGTACCCACGTCTCCATTTGCAATTTGAGAGTTACAATATCTACGAATATACACAAAATATACATCCAACACTGACTGTAACACTTAGCTGAGTATAATACACAAGAGATGGAATGTACTGTAATATGCTATTATACATCTGAATGGGGTATTGAGATTTCACATCTTTTCACATCGTAATGAGGTAGTGACTTTGTGTTTATTTGTGGTTCTGAGGGCCCAGGGAAAGAAACTTTTTGTTAGTCTAGTGATGTGGGATTTTATTGACCTAAAACTCCATCCAGACGGCAGCAGATCAAAAAGATAATTGCCAGGGTTTGAGGGGTCTTCTCATACCAGTTTTTTTCCCCAGTGACACTCCTATCTCTCTCTAAGAGGACAATGTAGGGAAGAGCCAGATAGTTCTTATCAATAGTCAGAACAGAACTCTTGCAGATGGTTTTAAACTAGATAGGGGGGTACCCAACATTAGTCTGAAAGTCTCAAATTGTTATCTTAAACTAATAGGGTTCACTTCATAATAGCTTAAAATCAGTTGTTTTTAACTCCTGTGGTATAAAGGCAATTTATCCTATCCTTTGAGGGAGGAAAGATTAATTAGTGGTTAATATAGTGACTGTAGTTCTGGTTGTTATTTTTGATACATTTCCCTGTGTAACCCCAGTCGTCTCCATCTGCTAGGATCCTTCCCGTAGATCTGTCCAGATTCCAGAATTCTACAGACTAAAAGCATGCAACAGATATAGCACTAAATGCCAGTTTTAAAAGATTATTTATTAAATTTATATGCTGCCTGACTTGCATTGTCTCTGCGAACTTTACACTTTATAAATAGTTAAAAACATTTAAAAAGAAGGAAACAAAAAAAGGATGGCAGAGATTACACATCTGGATGGCAACAAAGAAAATGAAGAAAAAGGATCTTCAGTCACCTTTACCAAAAGCCAAGTCTTTGGGGTCCTTCAGAACCCCAGAAATACTGAACATTACTTGGGTGCATTTTGTGTTTTGCTCAGAGTTCAGTCCATAGCACAGGAGATGGCTCGGCTCTTTTTACAGAACATTTTTTTGCCCACATGGATTGCTAAAATCTGATTTCCAATTGCAGTCCATGATTTACTTACCTGATTTTGACAGATGCTATTTGAAAATCTGGGTTTCGAGATCCATGCTACTGGCACTCCATCTTCAATTTTATAGAGATTCTTGACAAAGTACCAATAGGACAATTGAGTGCAGCTATTGACTTTTACAGAGTTTGTATATAACAATGCCCAGCATGTGTTCAGTCAAATGGCTCTCTTTGTAGCAAATTATAATTTCCAACCCATGTTTCCTATTACTACAACTAGAGTTCTCTATTCTGTCCAGAAACAAGCTGTTGCAGGAATCACAGACCACCAGGTCCTCCAAGTCCAGCTCCAAAATGCCAAGAAGGCTGCAAAGGTTTCATTGATTAGCATTGGCAGTCTACGGCTTCCCTGGTAATGGAGCACTTGGTGTGGATGTGTGGATTAACACATCAGTGCCATGGCCTTTGGGAAAAGTAGACCATTGCTGCCTAGACTTGTTTCCTATAGAGGCTGTAATCAACATTGTGTACAGGATCAAGCTGGTTTGATGCTGAAAGTAGATTCCAGAGTTCATTCCTCTTAAGGCTAACTTGACCCATGCTGTCATGCTACACCACTTCTGCCACGTGTTAATTCTGGAAGCACTCAAATATGACTTTATATACATTCTAGAGAATGCAGACCTTCCATCATTGGGACTGCCTACACTGAGTACTTCATAGATTGGAAGGACTGTTGTAATGGTATGTGAGAATGACTGGGAGACAGGGAATTCCGGTTTGAAGGGCTTCGGCGACAGAAATTCATGATCGTGCGCGGTTTCTGTCTGGGCTTGCTGTTGGAGCGCCCTGAGCTGGCTGGTTTCGGGGCTAAGCCACCCTGTAGAGGTGGTGAAGAGGGGGGAGACCACCAGCAGGGTTGAGAAGAGCCGCATCTCTCCTCAGCTGGCCATTACTCCCTTTCCCAAAGGCGGTTGCAGCAGTGGTCAGAAATGGCCACCACAAAGGAGAACTCGACCGGAAAAGAATGTGCAGGAGGAAGATAAGAAGTGAAAGTTTTGGCTGACCGGGTTAAATTGTAAAAGCAACAACCAAGGTACCCTGGAATTTAAACTTACAAAAAATAACATCGCTCCCAAAGAAGAGTCGGAAACAGCGAAGGAAAGTGAAAAGGGAAAGGTTCGGCTTTTTTTTCTTCTCTCTTCTTCCCTATATTGACAACTAAGAGACTTAAATAAGAAATTGGAAAAATCCGCTTTGACATCAATAGGCAATTAAGCTGAAAATAAAACAAAATGCCA